TATTAGGTTAAAAACCAAAAAATTTCATTAACTCACCAACTCACTCCCTTGAGTGTGTGTGTGTGTGTGTGCAAAGTTGCTTAGCTTGGGGTCCACCAGATGCATGACTTGACTCAAAAAAGTAAAAAGTATATTGAAATTAAAATTACAAGCACACTTAACCCTACTCTACCTGATTTTGAGTTGATTTGCTTTACAAGTGATCTTGTAGACTTAAAAGTTTAGTAAGTAGATCAAATAAAATAGATGTGTAATAATAGTAGTAGTAAAGAAATAATAATATTTTTTATCATAAAAACCACAATACTTGGGTCCATATTTTTAACAATTTCTCCTTTTTTGATGATGATAAATATTGTTGTTAAAAATTTTAAGAAAAAAAATTTTTCCTTTTTTTTTTTAATTTTTTATTTAAAATATAAAATGAGACATAAAAAATATGAACAAAAAAAGAACGAGATAAATTTCATTAAAACATAGGCAAACAACACACTACTCCGCCTTTTGACATCACAAAAAATTAGGAAAAAGGAAAATACAAAATATAACAAAGTAAAAAAAAAAAAAGAAGACTAGTATAAACACAGAAATAAAAGTACTAAGCAAACTAGAAAAAAGAGGAACCCTAATCAGATGGAGGTGGTGGTGGTGGTTGTGGTGGTGGCTGAAAGTAATGGTAAATGGAATCAAACTACTCCCCAAACCAAGTCATATCCTAGTCGTGCTACTACTACTAGACTACATAGGCACCAAATCTAGCCTCCTACTGGTTAAATCTCTCAACCAGCTGATCTATCTAGGACTGCTGGTGGATAGGAGCAGGTGCAGGAATAGGTGTTAGACCTTCCTCTTTCTCTTCTAGGCGATCACCATAACGTATGTTGCAGCGAAAAGCACGATGAAGGACATAGAAGGAGCTATTAGAATATAAGACTGTAAAGTGATCACCATCTAGGATATTAAAGATTTTATTTGTATTCAAGGACAAAAGAAATGAGATGTCCTAAAGTTAGATCCGACAATCTCTTATGATGGGGATCTCGAATGACTGTCAGATTTTTAAGGTAGAGAATGAGAAGGTCGTCTGCATTAAGGTCAACTTTAGTCATTGTGAAATAAGTGGTAAGAGACAGTGTAATAGTAATGTTTACTCAATCACCAGCTTTTGGAATTATGGAGTTGCAAAGAATATGCTGAATAATCCTAGTATTTTGTACTAATTTGTTAATAGCACAAACATGAGAGTTAACATCAGATTCTCTTAAAACAATGTTGCCTTGGGTCCAATCAAAATGAAGATTTGTAGGTTGAAAATGAATTTTTTCACCAGTAGACACAGAATCAACCCGAGGAGTCAGCCTGTATGGCTGTTAAATAATTGGATCGTACAAGACGAATACTTGTATCATCTTGGTTGATGTGCAATAATGGATCAACCTAACAACATTTAAATCATCCAATAACTCCTGCCACATGGATTGTCCGGTATGATGTTTGAATCGTACGGAACGATCACCAATAATTGATTTGTATCAACTGTTTAATGTGTTGCGATCAGTGTGGAGATTTTACATTTAGATTGTGCAAGACGATGTGTATCATCCTAGATGATGTGAGCAAAATAAAAAAAATAGGATATGAAATGTGATGATTAGCAGGATTTCAAACTAAAATTAAAAATACTAAAAACATAAAACAACAAGTAAATCAAACAAAAACCAATCATAAATCAAAATAAAAGAATTCAATTTTTTTGAATCGATGAACTCTAGTAAATGATAAATTTCACTTGTGAGTGGATTAAAAATCAATAAAAAATGAATTAACAACACTAAAATCTAGAAAGGGTAGAAAATCATTCTTTTTAACCCTAGCTCAGACTCCTTATAGGTTAGAAATCTTTTTAAACTAAAATATAATTCAGTAAAGAAATCATATAATTAGAAAGTAATATGTTCAAACATTATTTCATAAAAAATTATTTGATAGAATAATATTGCAAAGTAATTAATCAAAATCATGATTTTCAAAATTCAAATGTTTAAAAATATCAAGTGGCACATGGATTCTTCTAAATTTTAAAGATTTGAAAGAAAAGGAAGCTTATTTCTTTTTGGACTCATTTTGTGCCTCTTTTTTAGGTATTTGGCGCACTTAGCACATCTTTTATTTTTTGATACACTTTATGTATCTTATGATTATTTGGCGATTATTGTGCATCTTTTTAATTTTTGGGCTCATTTTGTGCCTCTTGTCATTTTTGCGAGCTGGCTTCCTTTCAAAACTTTTAAAATTCTCAGTTGTGAGATTATCTTTCAGATATAAGAGAAGAAAAACTAACTCTCAAATATGAGGAAGAGTAAACCATAAAATAGAATCATATCCATATGATAAATGTAATAACTTGATTAAGAAAATGTGAAAAGTGATCAATGACTTTGATTATTATTCATATAAGATAGATTACTATAGGAAGATAAAATAGATCTTAATTTAAAAAACCAACTTTTAATTTGAAATAGATTTTTCTTTAAAAAGAAAAATACACCACCAAAGGAGTTAGAGGTAGAGTGACAATCATCAAATTTTCTTCCTTTAACTATTTTAGAGGAGTCAAGCACTGCTTACTAATTTCTAAACCCAAAAGTAAGAAAGAATGTCATTTGAGAATTCAATATCAGGAGTGAGCATTGATCTGATTCCTTTTTTTTAAATATCGAACGAAAAAACCATAGAAAATTAAAAACATAAAATAGAAACACATAAAAATAAACATACATACAAATAAAATAGAAACTGATAAAATATATATGCAATAATAGCAATAGTAAAGAAATAATAATATTTTTTATCATCAAAATAATTGTACTTGGATCCAAATTTGCAACATCTTTGCTTGAAAATATCTTTTTCGACTGCTGCCTCCAAAAATTGTCTGCTTAGCATTCACAGTTTGACATGAATCAACATCATTTAAGAAAGCTTAATGGTCTGATTAGGCATGTTTCACCTCCCTCATTAACCCTTCTAAGGCTTAACTATTTATCAATCCCACCCTCTTAACACCCTTCATAACTTAACTACACAATACACCATCTCTAACAATTTAGGTGACTTACCCAATTCAACCTACCTTCCCCACTTAGCCCCAACTTCAACTTCTTCAAGTAAGGTCTTCCTCTCTTAACTTGGACACTATATTTGGTCAACCTTCTTCTAGTCAACTAAAAATTGCTAACTTAACACTCCATGCAAACAATATAGAGGCAACAAAAACCCACTAGGGACAATAAATGACATGTCCACCTAATATCTTAGCCATGGCTAACACACTTTCTGAAGGCCGTATAATTATTCCACCATCCATTACCTTGACCTACTTGGCCTCAACTACAGCTTGTTCAAGTTAGGTCTTCCTCCCTTAACTCAGCCTCCGTAGCCAGTCAACTTTCTTCTCATCTAGTCAACCAATATTGCTCTGATCAATCAAAAAGTTCCTAACATGCCTCATCCATAAAATCCTAAGAAGTCACATCTAACACAAATGATGTGCCTCTTCCAATAGCTCGACACTCAATTTAAACAATCTAGAGACAACACAAGCCCACTAGGCACAATGAATGCCATATTCACCACATCAAATGATGTGCCTCCTCTAACAATTAAACACTCAATTTAAACAATCCAGAGACAACACAAGCCCACTAGGTACAATGAATATGGAATACAACATCTCCCTAACATAGCTAACATGCCTTCTGAGTGCCAAATAATCACCCCACCATCCATCATCTACCACATGGCCTGTAATTTCTTCCTAGCATGACACAAGTCTAATTACTTTATTATACCAAAGCCTCTAAAAACCATGCATTCATTGCATTTGCATACTAAGACATGATAGCCTCACACCCTATATATCTTATACTTCTAATACACATGTTGATTCATCACCATTCATATGGGCACCACCACAACCTCCCCAACACCTATAAATACATCTTCCACTCTATGAAATGAGACCTCCATTTTACAAGACATTCCCTTTTGAGACATAAAGACATGTATTCATTGCATTTTCATTCTAAGACATGAGAGCCCCACATTTTCAAGCTCTAGTGGTATTCCATTGAACCTAAACTTCTTTGTTGCAGGTGTGCCCTGCATGAGTGAAAAGGCATGCATTTTTATAGATTATTGTTTATTATGAATGTATTTTTTTATGAATTAGTATTACCTGTAGTTTATCATTCCACCATTCATTAGAAACATCTATGATTTGCTTTATTGGATTCCAGACTAATCCAATCTCACCACATAACAGCTCTTTCCACAACTTCCAATCCTTCTTCAATTGATCCCACTTATTTTTTAGCTGTGTACAATCATATGATCTTTTAGTCTGAATTAAAATTTTTCATAATGTTTGTCCAACCCTCATTGAAATGGGTGGTAGGTCTATTATCCAATTCAATTTATTTTATGCATATGTCACAATAGAGTAACATGTTATCCATATCCCATGTTGTAGGTGGACCACTTTCTCTTTGTTTTGCCATCTACATATCTCAAAAACATACCGATTAAGATGTACATAATGTACATATTAATATATTATATATTAATGAGAATAATGTATGTTTATAAACATTTTGAAAAAATTAGAATAAAAAGTAAATAATGATTCAAACTTTTAAAAAATATATATATAAAGTTCCATCAATTCAAGTTTTTTTTTGAAGAAAACATAACAAATATGTTTAATAAAGTCAATAAAAAAGAATTATTTTTAAAATGTGCAAAATTCACATGCTAATTTGGAACATTAGCAGAGAGAGCTTAAGGAAATTTGCTAAGACCATCCACAATCGAACGGTAAACAAGTGTATGTCGTTCGTCAAACAATCCAATCGAACGTGAAATTGTCCATTAATCTTCAGGAGTGAATATTGCGACGCCAATATTGGCATTGCACTATTCACCTACGAAAAAAAAAAAAGGCTTACGGGAATTGCGAAAGAAGAGCATGAAAGAGGAGAAGCATGTTCATTTGTAGCGAGATGAAGAAGCGCGTGGAAGAGAAAATGAAATTTGATTGAAGATAAAGGTTTACTCTATTTTGAGTGGAAAATAGGTTTTTCTGTTGTAGGTGCCTTAACTCGTTTTATCATCGCCAAATTTCTTTTAAAAAAATGTACATAAAATTTAAAAAAAAAAAAATTTGGGTGGAAAAAGCATATGTATTTTAGATACTTCAAACCATGTTGCTGGGAGAAATTTTTAATACGGAATACTCAAGGACCTCGCCACACCCTCGGCTCTGAGATGGCCCAGTGGAAATGGTGGTCATGGAGGATTCTCGGCCGTACCAAGCGAAAGGGCGTCGATCTAAGGCTGAATGCTGCCATCGAAATCGCTCCACTCAACTCGCTCAACGTCCACAAGAGGTTCTCCTTCCTCCTCCGCCTGCAGCAGTCATTCATAGCAATTAACTTGGAAACCAACTATTTCGACCGAAAGGAAACTTCAAAAAATTCGAAAATTTGTCGGTTATTGGCAAAGATCTTCGCCCGCTGGGGAAGGAAGCAGTGGCTCAGAAGCAATGTTTGTGCTCAGAAGAGTTCAAAGCATTGGCTATCCCGTCTCTCTTCTCTGCAGGTAAACTCTGATGCCAATTTCTACTTCTCGCTAAGCCAAAGCAGCAGACGAAGAAATGGAGCAGAGAAAAAGCAAACCCTAGATAGGCCTAAGGCTCTAGAAAGAGTATAGACAAAAACCAAAGAGGAGAAATTATAGAAATAGGCAGTCAATGAGAAGAATATTGCTTATCTTTTAGTTTTTTTTTTATAATTAAATATAATATGAATATAGTAAGTATGATTGAATTAATTATCCATTTAAAATGAATTAAGTATTTTAAATCTTGAGTTGCACTACCAAACAATTTTAAAGGATTTACTAAAATTTAACATCTTTCTTGCCAAAATAGTTTTCAATATTGAACACCCTCAGAATTTAGTAAATATGGATATACAGGATTTGCTAAATCCATTAATCATTTTCTTCGTGAGAGAAATTAACTTCATTTATATCATACAATAAATGATTGGATTGACTAGCTTTCTTATCATATCACTTCCTGAATAAGTCATAGTAACACGTTGGGCCTCATTATCATGTTTAGGATTTTCATCTTTGTACCCTTAGAATTTTTTATTTTGTATATATCATAATATGCATTACCAAACTCACTTATAATCATTCATACCCTTTTTCATCATATAGAAAACTCATCACCATTATTTTTCAATCATTTAGACTAGTTCGGCAATTTGCCCTCCAACTTGGAAAATCTTTAGAATTGCCCAATTGTGGATCTTGTTTGGCCTTCATTTACTCATGTATATATAATTCTATCATTCATTCACATGCATATAGTTATTTAAACTAGTACATATTATTTGTTCTAGGTAGCTGCATACCATGACTTAAGTATATCTTGTACAATTCATGATTTTTATGTAAGAGCTTATTTGTCAAATGAAGAATCACATCATAGAAATCTTATATTCATACATAACATATGTAGAATGCAATCTTTATTTTACATGACATTATTACGTGCTATCAGGAATTAGCTTGTCTAGTACAAATTACTTCTTAAGTACTATTTGTGATTTCATCATTCAAGAAGTCAAAAAGGACATGAATCAAATTAGAGAATAAACTTAAACATTCTTTAACCATATAATTTAAATACTAATGAAGAAAGGAGGACTAGTTCAACATGAAGAAATTTCCATCATCAAGGAGTAGCTTGTATGAATTACCAATATACATCTCTTGAGCTAAAGTGGAATAAATTTTATCTCAACAAGAACACATGTTGTCAAAGGTTAAGAGAGTCAACTAGCGCCAACATGATCCCCTTGTATTAGTTCACCAAAAATTGCACAAAAATTATAGCGTAGACATGTTGATTTAGTGGATATTGATATGAGAGAAACACACCAAAAAATATGTGGCTCCTAGGAAGTATCAAATTATGGAGACCATTTCAATATATATATTTATAGGCCATTTACATAATATGAACTCAACTAGAAAATTGTATAATAATAGCTTCCAATATAGTTTGATAAGTATGTGATCAACAAAGCAATCACCTAGCAGGCAATGATCAAGCGTGAATGTGCAAATAATCTTCAAGCTTAGGTGGCTCAAGGTAAATTTAGTGACTAAAGTATAGGATAATGGAGCTGCTAGGTCAAAAATTTCTAACTCTAAAATTTTGAGAATGGATTTACCATGTCAAGTAGTGGCCAGATTGCGTCTAATATATTTCATGCCATGTTGTAGTAATATAAAGAATCTGGCTAGCAACCTCTTGGAGCCTTGAATTTAGTGAGGAGTCTTGAATTTAGTGAGGAGTCTTGAACTAAGTATTGAAATGTGGAATCACATTGGATTTTAACTTGAATTTGGCTGCATGAAGTTATGGATGAAGATGGTTCAACCAATTTGAATTTGAACTTTGAGAGATAGGCCCCAGCCATATAAATTTGGATAATGATGATTCAATTAACCTTATCACAACCTCCTTCCAACAAACTCTTAACCAACTCTCAATTAACTTTTAACCTCCTTATAATTAACTTTCAACCTTTGAGTAACTTTTGAAATTTTAAAAGTAAAATATCATGTGAAAAGTTGAAATTTAGCTTATGAACTACATAATGTACTGCACTAGAGTCTCCCTTCTAAATACTCAGACATATTTATGAAGTGCTCAAGGGATACATATTCAACAACACACACGATTAGGACAAAATTGAAATTTTATTTCAATATGAAATTTTCAATGAATTTACATGCCTCAAGGTTCTTTGTTTGTAGCAATGATTCAAAATAAGAAAAGTCTTATATCATGTTAAAATCTGCTCAAAACATCTAATTTGAAGATATTCATTAATTCCATTAGTAGAAATTCTCTCATAAAATTCAATTCTTAAATTATTTAAGGATATTTTGGTGACATACGAAATTATTTACCCCAAAATGGAGATGTCCCATGTTGGTAGCGTGGGAAAAGGCGGAGTGAGGCCTTGAATATGATGCAAATGGATAACATGAATAGCGACATTAACAAGTTAAGGCGGTGATGATGAGTAGCGATAATCAACAACCATATATTAGTGATAAAAGAGGGAGTATAGCATAATAAGAAGGCGAACAATGGTGGAAAAATAAAACATCATTTTTGAGTGGCAAGACATTAGTGGGAATATATGGACAATAGTGGTACAATGAAACTTGAGCAATACTTAGTAGGAATAGCAAAAAAGTAGTAATTAATAAGTGCACATCATGGAAATAACTTTGAACTCCATATATGATGATTAAAATTCAATGGAGTTAACGTGTTAGACTTGACTATTCTGTCAAAATACTAGAGAATATATCTCATTCATTTATTAGCTGATAACATAAAACACTTGATGGACGAGAAAAGAAAAACTAACAATCATTACACATGAAATGCATTCCCAATGAATACAAAACTTTAGATTTACATTTAAAAAAAAAATTTAAGAAACATTGAGGCATGTCATAAAGTTGAAACTAAGAGCATTGCTTCCTTGGAAGAAGTGTTGTTTGGGTATAAGTTTCTTGAAGTTTGTTGGTCAGTTTCCAAGCTATCCAATTTTTATATGCTTGATTTTTGCAAAACCATGATATCTTTAGTTGGATTTGAATTAGCAAGCTATTCATAAGGTCCTCTAATAATTCTCAGTGAGATAAATAATGACATTAGCTTGCTTGTCTAATGGTTTCATTGGAGAGTTAGAAGTTTTGGAAAGCTTGTTCTTTACTTTTTGTTATTTATTATTTATCATTGTTAATACAATGTTCACATTGCTCATAAATTCAGGTTTTATCTACAAAGACTTCACCTTTAAATTGGAGTTGGATGATATGGTCTGCGATTTTTATTTTATTGTTACTTTTCATTTGTGAGGTAATGTTGACAAATGATAATCTTCTATGCACTTTTTATGACAATTTGTCCTACTCTTTTATTGTTTTCTCAATGAAATGATTGTATCATATATTTATCATGACAATATCTTCAAGCTACCCTTTGCCACATGTGAAACTGAGATATGCGGCACTTTTCTAATTGTTTGAAAGGGATCTAATTTCTTCTATCAAACCTGTAAATTGTTTTGTTAATTTGCATATCTTCGAATAACCTTCTTATTGCTAATTCTCTACTGCACTGGTTTGCAAAATTTCAAATATGATATTTCCCTATATATTACAAACATCTGTTGGGATGTTTTCTATCATTTTACTTGTTGCAACCCATGACCCCGAGTTTGAGATTTTGATGATGCCAAATAATGAGTGACTTGGAACTGCTTTTCATTGCTTATTATTTTATTTGTTATTTTCCTTGAGCACTAACATTTCAGGAAGATCACAAGTGACTCAGGAAGAAAGGAAGACTCAAGACCGGGTAGATTAGGAGTACGAGTCAAAAATTGTATTTTTCCATTTATTATATTTTTTACTTTATTGAGTCTGGCCACAAAATGCGAAAGAGTAAGAGCAACCATGAACACACACAGGGGGAGAATTTTTTTTTTACTGAAAATATAAGTAAAATTCTTCTCTGGAGATCGTACTGTACGATGTTATTTCGTACCGTACGATCCAGGCTATGTGGGCAAATCTGTGAATAGATCGTACTGTACGAAGTACTCGTACTGTACGATATGTTCAGATCCAAAAACCCTAGGCGTGACTTAATTTGAGGAAGTGATTTTTGCGCCGTTCGTACTGTACGAACTTGTTCGTACTGTACGATCTGTATTAAATACTTACTTAAATTAACACGTGATTAGTGCACGTAATCAAGGCCTAATTGAGATTTGCACATCGTACTGTACGAATATGTTCGTACTGTACGATTGGTTTTAAATACTTACTTAAATTAACCCGTGATTAGTGCACGTAATCAAGGCCTAATTGAAATTTGAACATCGTACTGTACGATGTCAATCGTACCATACGATGAACAGAGACGACATCCGATCGTCCAGACCATCGTCCTGTACGAATAGTATGTGGTTTAATCGTACCGTACGATATTGTATCGTACAGTACGAATTGTTTTTGTACTGTTCGTACACCTTCGTACCAGGACGACGGCTGTTTATGAAGATCGTACTGTACGATGATGAATCGTACTGTACGAACAGTAACGGCTAATTTTGAATTCAGAGGTTTTTGGAGCCTTTTTTAATATGCCAATCAAGTTCTTTTTGAAAAAAAGATTGTTAGAGAGGGTGAACGTGATTAGAGAGGGATTCCAAGGGAGAAAACTCAAGAGAAATTCTTGAGGGTTGAGAGGAAGGAGGAGGTGAGCGTTGTGAGGGAGAAGAGGTGTGAGGGAGATCACACGGTTGCTCCAAGCTCGCTGCATCTTGCTCCTCCTGTGGCCCGAGAAGGATTTGAGGGAGGATCTCCAAGGGAAAGGCTCGTCTGCATCCGTTACCTCGAGGTTCTCTGCCTTCTCCAGGAGGGAGAAAAACGAGAAGGTTCTCTGCCGTCGCCAGGAGGGCGAAAACAGAGTTTGGTCTTCCGCCACGCCGGGTTGGTGAAAGGGAGGTTTGTACAGGCTTCTCCGCCTTGCCAAGGGGGGCAAAAGGAGAACTATTTTTATAGTGAAAATCCCGGAGTGGAGGACTCCGGGGAGTGGACGTAGGTCATATTTTGACCGAACCACTATAAAAATCTTGGTGTGTTCGTTCTTTATCATTGTTTACTTTTTGCTTGCACTTTAATTTTTCATATCTATTGCACGTGGTTTTTTGATAAAGCAAAATTGCATTGATCTTTATTTTAATATTTCAAAAAACAACAAAAAAATTAGAACTCTTGTTTAGGGTTAATTTTTATTAAGAGAAAACTTTTTACAATTCACCCCCCCTCTTGTCGTTTAGTAATTTCAATTGGTATCAGAGCTTGTTTTTCAAAAATAGTGTTTTAGAAAACCTTGAAAAAACGATCATGTCGAATTTTGGTAATCGTAACACTGCGGAGGGTTATTCAATAACTCGTCCACCACTTTTTGATAACATACCGTTTGATTTTTGGAAAATTAGAATGTCTACATTTTTGCAATCTATAGATTACCGCATGTGGATGTTAGTTAATGATGGGTATGTTGCACCGTTTAAAACTGTTAATGGTTTGAAAACTCCTGTACCGTTTAATGAATGGAGCAATGAGGATAGGGAATTAGCCCAACTGAATGCTAAGTGCTTAAACTGTTTCTTTTGTGCATTGAAATCTGAGGATTATATGAGAGTATCTACTTGTGCTTCTGGTAAGGAGATTTGGGATAGACTGTGCATTACATACGAAGGAACAAACGAAGTAAAACAGTCTAGGCTTAACATTTTACTGCATGATTATGAATTATTCCGTATGAAACCTAGCGAAACAATTTCTGACATGTACACTAGGTTCACCCAAATTGTGACATCCTTGCATGCTTTAGGTAGAGAAATTTCAAATTCTGAGAAAGTAAATAAAATTCTTAGATGTCTGCCTAGTTCCTATGATGCTAAGATAACTGCTATCACTGAGTCCAAAGATCTTAATGTTTATTCTATTGATAACCTCCTCGGGTCACTCATTGCATACGAGCAAGGAGTGAGCCAAAGGCAAAGTGATGCAGGTGAAAAGAAAAAGGAGCGGACGGTGGCATTAAAAGCTAGCAACTCAGAAAGTGAAAGCTCTGCAGGGGAGGAAGACGATGAAATAGCACTGATGACCCGACAGTTCAAAAATTTCCTGAAGAGAAAACAGAAGCGTCATCAGAACAGCTGGAATAAAGGTAAAAGCTCAAGGACCAATAAAGTTTCATCTGATACAATTTGCTTTGAGTGCAGGAAGCCAGGTCATCTTCGAGCAGATTGTCCTAATCTTAAGAGCCAACCAACAAAGGAGAAAGGAGATGACAAAGGTAAATACAAGAGAGGAAAGACCAAGACACAGAAAGCTTTTTGGGCCGACTCTGCCTCAGAATCATCAGAAGAAGAAGCAGAGGAGGAGGTAACAAACTTGTGTCTTATGGCTAATGATAACCTTGATCAATTGGATCAGGATGAGGTATGTCAACTTTCTTATGATGAATTATTGCTTATTTCTGAGAATATTCATGACTCTTATAGAAAACTGAAGAAAATGCATGCTAAACTTAATATTGAATTTAGTTCCTTACAAATTGAGCATGCTAACTTAGTTAAAGAAAATTCTGATTTAGATAAAGATCACATGTTACTTCTTGATGAGTATGATGCATTAAATAAGAAGCATATTGATCTAATTGAAGCGCATGAATCCTTGAAAACATCACATATTGAACTAGATGTAGAGTATGAAAAACTAACTGCACTTATATTAGAAGTAGACCATAGTGAGCACTTGCTATTGATAGAAGTTGATGGATTGACAGCTCAAAATAAAACTTATAGTGAAAAAATAAAAGAACTAGAAAAAGAAATTGCATCACTCACAATAGGCCATCCTAGAAAACCCCCAACACAGCATGCATCACAAAATCTTAGGAAGAGGCACCACCACACTCATAGATTAGTAAACCCATTTCCTGGTGTTAGGTGCTTCTCTTGTGGCATGTTAGGTCACATAGCCCGCACATGCACAATTCACCGTAGGACACACTTAGTATGGAGACCTAAATTGCATCCATCACAGCATAACATGCATACATCTCATTCATGCAAGCATAAGGTGGAACCCAAACTCACTTGGGTTCCCAAATCTAATCTGTGAATGAAATTGTAGGAATGCTCTCACAAAAGACCTAGTGAGAGCATGTGGTACCTGGATAGTGGCTGCTCGCGACACATGACTGGAGACATGAAGAAGTTCATCCTATTGGAGACCAAAACTGGAGGCAAAGTAACGTTGGGAGACAACACTACCAGGAAGGTGATAGGCTCAGGTACAGTTGGTAATGCTAAGAATTTTTTAATTGAAAATGTTTTACTAGTTGATGGTTTGAAACATAATTTACTTAGCATTAGTCAACTGTGTGACAAAGGTTTTGATGTTAAATTTTTTACTGATAAATGCCTGATTAGTTTATTTGGTGAAATAATTTTAGAAGGAAAACGAATGAACAATGTTTACATGTTAGACCTTGATCGTGTAGATAACTCAAAATCATTTTGCTTGAAAACAATAGTTGATGATTCGTGGCTATGGCATAGGAGACTGTGCCATGCTAGTATGAAAACTCTTAGAAACATCACTCAGAAAAACCTAGTTAGAGGTGTACCTAAATTAGAATTCACCAAGAATCACTTATGTGATGCTTGCCAACAAGGAAAACAAGTCAAATCATCCTTTCACTCAATTAGAGACGTGATCACCTCTAGGCCACTAGAAATTCTACACATGGACTTATTTGGACCCGTTAGTACAGCCAGTCTAGGTGGAAAGAATTATGGATTTGTGATTGTAGATGACTTCACTAGATTTACTTGGGTAAGATTCTTAGCACACAAGAATGAGTCTTTTGAGGAATTTAAAATTTTCTCCACATGGATACAACGAAAATTAGGTTGTGAGATATCAACAATCCATAGCGATCATGGTGGAGAGTTCCAAAATGAAAGATTTGAGTCATTCTGCCAAGAGATAGGAATAGAGCACAATTTCTCAGCTCCAAGAACACCCCAACAGAATGGCATAGCAGAAAGGAAAAATAGAACCTTGGTAGAAGCTGCTAGGGCAATGTTAGCGGAGTATACCCTTCCTAGATACTTTTGGGCAGAAGCAGTCAACACAGCCTGTTATGTTTTGAACAGAGTAAACATTAGATCGAAGCTGAATAAAACTCCATATGAACTCCTTAAGGGTAGGACACCAAACCTTTCACATTTACATGTCTTTGGGTGTAAGTGCTTCATCTTAAATAATGGTAAACATCCCTTAGGAAAGTTCGATCCCAAATCTGATGAGGGTGTCTTCTTAGGCTATTCTTCTGTAGGTAAGGCCTATAGAATTTTCAACAAGAGAACCCTGGTAGTAGAAGAATCCACCCATGTGGTATTTGATGAATCTGATATGCCCTCAGAAACT